AAACTTCAGTGTGTAGAAGCTGGACGATTGCGTCGTCTGTTGTCAGAATGCAAGCTTGTGTGCGAAGCCCCGCAGCCTGGCCCACCAACGCCAGCTGAAAAGATGGCCCCTTCACTTCTTGGCATGGATGTAGGGCCTCGGTTGTCCGGTGATGTGTTACAACAGCTTTGGTCTGAATTTGCAAAGAAATACCCGGCAGAGGTAGTAGAGGGCGATGCTCGCCCCGGGAAAGCATTGGTGCAAATGGTTTATGCGCAAAAATGTCAACAAGAGTTGAAATACATTCCTTGGAAAAGGATCTTGAGTGAAGCCCAAGCAGACCGAGTCAAGCAAGGTTCTACCAAGCGAGATCGTTCCTTTTTAGACCTGCTGGCGGATGCGGCAGGGCACGCTGACCCACCCGAGCAAGAGCCATCTCCTTCGCCGTTTGGGGTTCAACGCCTGTTGATGTTGCGTGCGGTGGCATGGGCCTTGATAGGATGGTGTCATTTAGGAGGAGCTCGTCGCCTAGTTCACGCTTTCATGGAACTGTATGGTGCTCATGGCTTGCATGCAGTGGGCCTGCGGGGTCCCTCCTTGGTTGAAGCTGAAGCGGCAGATGGGGAGATCTGTCGCCAATTGAATGCGCTGCTGGGCGCGGGCTTCAGCTTAGATCAAGCCCTACATGAACTAGTTGCCGTGCGAAATTGTCTTCACATTTGGTTGCAGCCGAAGCCAAAACTGCTGCCGCAATCCGATTTGTACAATAAGAAAGGGAAGCGGCCGTTGCCACAACCTGCTGGGAAATCTGCGAAGATCAAAAACGCGCATACTCCAGGGCTGGAGGCGCCCCGTGCAAAAAAGGTATGCTTTGCATTCAAGAAGTCTGGCAAATGCAGCTTTGGTGAAAATTGCCGATTTGAGCACGCTGAATGACTATCAAAGGAGCCCCAAGTGGCAGAGTTTGATGCTTCCGCAGCCATTTGGTCGTCAGGTGACAATCCATCTGTGTGTCATCGGCAGCCGCCTGCAGAAGCAGAGGTGATGACAAGGTCGGAGTTAGATTACTGTGGGGTGCCCGTCCCAGACGGAGGGGGAATCTGCTCTACGGCTGATTGGTTCCAGCCGCGGGTCAAGGACGATCTATTTCGTGATCTTCGCCGCAGGTTTGAATCTTTGGCTATGGAATGGCGTCTAGTTCCCCGCCTGATGGCGCACGTCTCTAACCCCACGGATGCTGAGCTGCTTTCTGCTGAAGAAGTGTTACACTTGCGTGAAGAGATTGTTGGTTTTTTGCGTAACCATGGTTTTTCTTGCAACGGTGATGTCGAACCCAATCAGCCTTTTCTGCTTTCCGTTTGGCAAGCTTTGGCCAAGATGACTGTTGATGTTGATCCACATCTTCCCAACATTCTTTCAGAAGGGGTTCCTACAGGCATCGAATCCCCGATTTCACCTTCTGGTGTCTGGGATGCAGTAGATTTTGATGGAATGGCACCTGAGCCTGAGATGGTTCCTTGTGATCTTTTGGTTCACCTTGGGCCTTGGCGCTCGGCAGCTGAAGATTTACCCCTGGCAAAACAGTTGCTTCAAAAGGACATTGACGCTGGTTGTCTCATGCATTTACGTGGAGGTGAAGCGGAAGCGAAGGAACGCTGGGGGGACAAGATTGCTGCAGGTAAATTGGGCTTGGTGAAAATCCCGGGCAAGAAACCACGGTTGATTGGCGATGCCACGGTTTCTGGTGCAAATTCGCGCTGCGTGATTCTGGAAAAGATTCACTTGCCCACTTTGAGCTGCGTGCAAAGAGTTGCTAGCGCAACGCCGCTTGACAAACTTTTTTCTGCCTTTTCCTTTGATATTCGTGGAGCCCACAAGCTAATTCGTGTACGACCTGCAGAACAAGGGTATAGCACTTTTGTTTTGGATGGAGAATGGTATACCTACCGAACCTGTTTTTTTGGCTGCCGCTGGGCGGCTTACTGGTTCTCGCGTGCTTCTTCATTTCTTGTGCGACTCTTGCATCGCTGGGTTTGGATACCACACGCATTGTGGGTATATGTTGATGATGGCCTCCTCTTGCTTCCCGCTGATGTGGCGCCGCTGGTTGCAACTACTTCATTGATGTTCTTGCTGTCGATCGGTATGCCGATCAGTTGGGAAAAATTGCAACTGGGCACTGCTATTTCCTGGATTGGGTGGGATTTCCATTTTTCCAATGCTACAGTTTGTTTGCCTAACGCGAAGAAGCAGAAGTTGCAGCAGTTGCTTTCTTGTCTCATGGTAGAGAACCGGCGGGTTGAACGTAAGCTGGTGGAGCAAGCTATCGGCCTTTTGCTCTGGTATTGCGGGGGTGCTTCATGGCTGAAGCCGTGGCTGCAATGCTTATATAACTTATTGTTCAAACCCTTGTGTGTATTTCGTGCCTTGTTGCCCGCGCAATTTGAATGCATGCGTGGCTCACTGGACCCCAATCTACGTTTGAAGCATAGCTTTTCGCAGTGGGACTTACAGCAGGGTTGGAAGTTACATTCAGTAAGTAACTGTGCTGTGCGTGCGCTGAGCGATGTCCCGCTTCAGACTCCGCGTTTGAAACGTGGTGCAATTGATTGCGTTTTCTATGACTATAGCAGTGCCAAGGTGCGAACCAACAAGATCTCGATCGATGCGGCCACTTTGTTTTTCAATGCTGTTTCCGTGCAAAAACCGCTTCCCCTGCGTTGCACTCAGGTGGAACATGGCTTCGGCGCTGCTGATGCATTTGCTGGTTCTTCATCTTGCGGTGTAGGAGGATGGTGGTGCCCCTCTCACGTGGCTCCATCCCCACAAACTGTTTTGTGGTTTAGTATTCAGTTTCGCGCCAAAGATCTTCCAGCATGGTTACAGTCCGAAAATTTGCAGTCATTCATTGCATCTTTTGAAGCTTTGGCGCAGCTGCTGCTTTTGCTGGGGCGACTTCGGCATTTCACACATCCAGGAAATGCGACAGTGGTTTTGCAACAACTGTGTGACAATAATGGCGTGGTGGCATTGACTCGCAAACAGTTGACCATGAAGGCACCCATGTGCTATGTGCTGCAAGCGATTGGGTTTTATTGCTGTCAGCATGGTGTATCTTTGTCATCGCAGCATTGTGCGGGTGCTCGCAATGAGTGGGCTGATGCCCTGAGTCGTGGCTGCTATGAAAAATTCAACGCAGCTAATAGAATGGAGTTTGATGTGTGTTCCATTCTTGAAAAGCCTTGGAATGGCGCCGGGCACACTGCGTGTGGGAAGTTGTGAGACTTTAGTGCCCTGCTTGATCAACACCGTTGTTGGGGCTGGTGTGGTGGAGCTGCTGCTGCCCAGCAGCTGCTCCACCTGTGTGTGATCAAGCCAATCCATGAAAAAGGATTAGTGCTCTGGTGGTTGGGCAGGAGTCAGGTTTATTCACCTATTAGTATGTTCCTGGTTTGTGATGCATGCTAGTGAAGTTTGTAGAGGTGCTGTTTTCATGTGGGCTTGCACACATGAACACCACTCTCTCTAACTTCACCTTGCATACCTTGTTGGTTTGTCGGGATTTACCCTGTTGTTGCTTCATGAGTTGGCTGAACATGCTTTGCAGCTAGTGGCAAGCCTGGTTGGGCTAGTAGTTGTTCATCTCTCCTTTCCCTGAGAGGTATTGCTTTCCAACCCGCTTGCCTGTTTGTTGTTTTCTCTTTTCCACCCCACCCCTCCCTGCATGGGTTCACGGGTTGTTACCCTCCACATTGCCACCTGTTTGGGGCAAGTTTGGATTAGGCCCCCTGGCCTTGATTTTGTGACAGGCAATTCTTTGTCAGGTGTTTATGAAGTTGCTTGCTGATGGTGCAAGCTGTAACATGGGCACTGAAAGATTTTTTGCCTATGTTTGGGATTGAGCCCAAGTGCTCATGGCCCTGCGGGGCTGGTGTGGTGGAGCTGCTGCTGCCCAGCAGCTGCTCCACCTGTGTGTGATCAAGCCAATCCATGAAAAAGGATTAGTGCTCTGGTGGTTGGGCAGGAGTCAGGTTTATTCACCTATTAGTATGTTCCTGGTTTGTGATGCATGCTAGTGAAGTTTGTAGAGTAGAACCATCCCAGTCAACCCCAGGGGTGTGCCACTTAGATACCTTGATTTTGAAAGTATATACTAGGGATCAGCCGAAGTAGCTGAAACTCTTGGAAGAAGATGAAAGCCTTATTTCCAAAGCAAGCAAATTTTTGTGATGCTTATCAAGCTCACAAAAAAGCTGCTCAAGCCCCTGGCATCTTATCTAGAGTCTGTCTGAAGCAATCTGACATTTTATCTTCAGACAACTCTCAAATCACAAACACTGATCTTTTTTGGCATTCCAAATTGTTCACAAATTTCTTGCCAAATCAAACACTCGTCACAAGTGATCAATCCTATACCTGCTGCGGTGTCATTTGCATCAATCTTTTCTGATGTTAAGTTTTTTGTCACCGCAACTTTTACCATTCAAGGTGTGGGTGGGTAGGGTTCCTCAAACATTTTTATGAGGATTCACAAAAAATTGCATGGGGGTTCTATTTTCTTGAAGTTTGGTTGTTGTGATCTTCACTTTTCAACAGTTTTGCAAACTTCGTTTTCAGACTCCCATTGTTTCAACAGTTGCACCTGCCGGGTAGTTCTTAGTGCGAGCCATCCATGCTGGTCTTGCAGAGCTACAGTGACTGGCTTGGATTGCATTGCTGAGAGCTTTGTCAGGTTCATGAACGGTTTTCAACTGACGTTTGCCAAAGCCTGGAGTCAACTACCTGCTGAATCACCTGTGGTTTTATGCTGGGATAGAGGCTGTTGGAAACATGTTGTTGCTGGAAAGAAACTTTTTAGCGTACAGCCTGCAGTTTTGAAGCGTCCTATTCCTCCTCCGATTGTGTACAACAGCTCACCTGGAGAACAGCAGCACCATGACAAGCGGCACAGAGCTCAGACCTCAGTCGCTACGTCATGGCAACAAATTGTCAAATCCAGTTGTGAGGACAGTTGGACGGAGATGAGGGACTCGAAGTTTCAGATTGCACTTAGAAGATGGCTAGATGTTCTTTTGCAGCTTCCTCCAGAGTGCGGCATTGTCATTCAGTTGAAACAGGTTGGTGACATTTCACATCAATTGAGGATGTTGCGTGATATTTTTGCAAAGAAGGCACCACAGACCTTGCTCAAACGTTGCCATTCCTTTTTGCGATTCATTCACCACTTGAAGGACGTTGGAGAAACCTTCCCAGGAACTGAGCATGGGCTCTACGGTTTTCTCTGTGGCCTTCGTGATGCAGGTGCGACCACGTCCAATTTGCAGAGTGTTGTGCAGGCTTTGAATTTTGCTCAACATGTAGTGGGGCTGCCTGAACTTGCAGTTGTCACGACGTCCAGACGGTGCATAGGAGCCGTAGGCATGAGGAATGTTGGACCAAAGAGGCAAGCACATCCTTTTACTGTCAGTGAGCTGCTCGTGCTCCACTCAGTTTTGCTGGACCAGTGTGAAGATTCATGGAACCGGGTTTTCGCTGGTACAGTGCTTTTTGCAGTTTACAGCAGAAGCCGATGGATGGATATGCAACATGCAGAATCCATGGAAGTGGACACAGATTTCACTGGATTTGCAGTCTATGTGGAGTTGCACATTTCAGTTCACAAATGTCAGGAGTCCACAGCGTTTCGCAATACTTTTTTGACAGCTGTTGCACCGAACTTGGGAATCACTGCAGAGCCTTGGGTTCAGGCATGGCTGGACGTCAGGCTCGAGCTTGGGATCGACTTCAAGTTGGGCCTGCCGACCTTGCCAGCTCCCAACTCAGATGGGCTACCGACAAAAAGGCCCTTGAGCACAGATGAGATGAAACAGTGGTTGCGACTGGTTCTCACGTCCAAAGGGATGAATCTTGATGGAAGACGGTTGACATCACACAGCTGCAAGTGCACGTTGTTGAGCTGGTTGGCAAAGCATGGTGATGACTGGGCAGACCGTATGGCCTTAGGTGGGCATGTCTCCTTCATGAAGTCAGCGATTGTTTACAGTCGAGATGCAATGGCAAGACCCATCAGGGTGCTAGAAAAGCTGCTTCTAGATGTCAGGTTGGGCAGGTTTTGTCCTGACGAATCCAGGAGTGGCCGCTTCAAGGACGTGTCAACTGGAGACGCTGCTACTGGCAGTGACTTTGCAGATTTGGGTTTTGGTGACAACAGTTTGGATTTGTTTGGCTTGCCACAGCCGACAAAGTTTGACGATGACGTCATAGTCATTGACAATGAGGAAATCGAGACAAACGATGTCAAACATGAGACCCCTGGTGACAGCAGTTCAGATTCAGATGTTCTCACAACATCGTCCAGTGAAGACGAAGCAGGGGCCCGTTGCTCTGGTGCCTCACGGGTGATGCGTCCGCCCACTGTACCAGACTCCTTGAAACTCACTCAGCACACCAAGTACAAAACATTGCATTTGATGGAGAAACAAGATCAAAAGATCATGCTTTGTGGTCGTGCAATTGTGCAGGGACGATATGATGCTGCAAGTGAGGCGCGATTTGATACGCCGTGTTGTCACCAGTGCTGGAAACGCAAACCAGAATATGACCCCAGAACTTTTAGTAAGCGGTCAACTTGTTGATAGCTCCTTATTTCAAAACTTGTGAGAAACAAAGTTTCGTGCTGCTATCTTCTTTTGTCTGTTTTGTCAAACACTCCTTACTCACGTGCACTGAACCAAGGGCCAACAACAAATAGAAAACAAATGCTGTTTCTTTTGCAAATCACTTTTTCAGTGTCGCTGCAATTCAGTGGAAAAGGTATTCACAGGTACAGGTTCAGTTCTGACATTCTTGACAGTTTCGAAAGTGCACTTCGTTTACATGGAACATACATGAACATTCAATGAATGATATCCTCGCGGAATTTGGCTGAGGGTGGGTGGTGGGACACCTCTTAAATTGAGGTTGTTTTGCCCGTAGATGGGCGCACGGGAGCGGGGCCGGGTAGCCATTACTTCACCATTGGCTCTTCAACCGGTCGTGACAGCTCCCATCCTTTTTGGATTCTGGCATTTTTGCTGCTTTTTGTGTGGATTTTGCACTGCCATTTTATTCATCGTTTGGATCTTGTCAGACAGTTGATGTGGATCAGTTTGGACCGTTTAGCACAGTGCAATCGACAGGCAGCGTTTTTGTTGAACATTCCAGATTGGTTCAGTGTCCAAGAGGTTTTGTTTTCGTCTTTGTCACCTGCAGAAGGACATCGATTGCTGCGATCTTGCTTAGCTCTGTACGTGGATCGTAAGGACTTGTTTTTGAGTTCAACTGCAATCAGGCTAGGCTATTCAGCCTCGGGCTTCAGTGTCCCGACACCTCCTTTACAGCCTTTTTTACCTGTGCCAGTTTTGCCAGTGGCGCTCGGACAAGGTGGGGTTTGGGACGATGCCTTGGAGATCGAAGACATTGACTCAGTTTAAGTCGTCACCTGAGGCTGAGGTGGAGCATTCAGAAAATGATTACGGTTTTGAGCATGTAGTTGAACCCCTTGTGCAGGACGATGACAATTTTGATTCGTTTGGTGCTTTACCTGAATCAGATGATGTTGTTGCAACTGGCATTTCATCTTCATCTGAAATTTTGCAGGGTGCAGTCATTGCCATGGCCGATTCAGCTAGGGTCAGATCGAAGAGACGGATGGATGCCCACAGCTTGGGGGCTGCCCAAATCCCCAGAGGTCCGGTTTTGGACAATGAAAATTTTTCTCAAATGTTGCAAGATGCTTTCATTAGAAATGCAGAACCTATGTCAGTGGTCATGCCTTGGGAGAAAGGAGTTGCAAAGACAATCTTTTCAAAGGGGCCCAACGTCCTGAAGGTTCAGAAGCAGCAGTTGAGAAGTTGGGTTCAAGCCACTGACAACCTGTCGGAGGACGCAATTGCAGCAGGACCGACAATGGTTGGAGCCCCAAGTGCGACTTTGTCTGGAGCTCTGTTTGAGAAAGCCTTATCGGTTGTAACTGACCAGAATTTCTTGGAGAAACGACAGGAAGATCTGGATTTGGCAGTGGACAAATGGTTCAGCATCATCAGGATCAACCTTTTGGGGTCGGAGGTAGGCCAAACCATCATTGGACATGGAGGCAACATTCAAGAGCAAAAATTGGGTGCCTATGAAACGATCGAAGCAATCATCGGTGTCAGATCCAGGACAACAGCCATATCAAGGGCAAATGCATTGCTGAAATTTTTCAGGTGGAGAGCAGACTTCACTGAGGATGACGGCAAGCCGGTGACCGAGCAAGCCGCATGGAGCTATGTGGCAAAGCTCAGAGCAGATGGGGCTGCACCCACAAGGGCTTCAAGTTTTTTGGCTGCTTGCGGATATGCGTTGCATGTTTTTGGATTCAAAGATTTTGACTGCGTGTACAACAGCAGGAGAGTGAGAGGGATTGCAGAGATCATGCACTCTGGAAAAAACCCACTCAAACAGGCCAAGGTTCTTTCAGTTGCACAGGTTGTTGCATTGCACAGTTTAATGGAGGACAAGGCGGCAAATTTCATTGACAGGGCGCTTGCAGCCTATGCTCTCTTGGCCCTATACGGCAGATGTCGACACAGTGACCTGGCGTTTGTAGATTGTGTGATGCACGATTTTGACTGGAAAGGTGGCTTCGTGGAAGTGTCGACAAGGTTGCACAAAACAGCCAAGAGCGCAACCCAGAAATCCCAATTACTTCCAATAGTCATCCCGGCAATTGGAGTGACCGGTCAGGTTTGGGTGCAGGAGGCCAGTGAAGCTTTTTCAGCTTGTGGTTTGAACCTGGACGGCTCTATCCAGGGACCGCTCTTTAGGCCCCCCATGGCGGCCGGTGGAGGGCTGTGCAAACGGGGCTTGACTTCGTCAGAGGTTACCAAGTTTTTGAGACTCCTTTTTGAGTGCAATGACAACAATGTTGATGGGCCCCGGGTGTCGTCGCATAGCCTCAAAGCTACTGCACTGTCATGGGCCTCAAAATTTGGATTGCCCATTCCCGACAAAGCAATCTTGGGAAGACATGCCAGCGCGACCACAGAAGCCCATGCGATCTATTCGCGAGACCTCTCGGTAGCATCTGTGATGAAACTGCAAGACATCATTTTGCGGATTTCGCGCTTGGAGTTTCAACCGGACAACCCCCGCAGGGGGTACTTTGCTGAGGAAAACGCACCTTGCGCAGAGCCAGATGCCATTGAGTTGGTGAAGGTCGAAGAGGATTCACCTGCCCAGGAGGGCGTTGAGAATGAGAAAGAAATGGACAAAGAGACCATCTCTGACCACCAGAGTTCAAGTGGCTCTTCATCTGAGGAGTCATCAAGCTCAGATGAGGAGGTAAGACCGCCTCCACCTAAGTGTTATAGGCACACGGCCAAGGACCATTTGGCGGGCCGCTTTGTGAGCCACAAAACATCGAAGTTGGTCCACTATAAGGACTCTGTGGTGGGTGAATCGAAAGCTGTTGGCAAAGCCGTCTTGTCATGCGGCCGGGTGCTGAACTCAAACTATGACATTGTCGTACATTTCGACACAGTAGCACTTTGTAGAAGATGCAAGGTGAATGCAGTCAAAGATGGATTGCTACCGCCAGTTTAAAACAAGTGCGTTGTGTCTCTCACATGGTGAGGTGAATGGGTAAAGCACCCAAGCATGGATGCATGGCATCTCATGGAATTGCGTGGCAACCTTGTTTTGGTTTGTTCATTCAGGATTGCATGGCATCCTTGGTCTCTTGATGCATTGGCTCGGAGATGCATGACAGGATTAATTGACATCAAGTTTTCATGATCACATGCATGGCACTTTCAATTGCTTGTCACATTTCCAACATGTGCTTTAAAGGACGTGTGAGTGAAATACTTCATTTGTTCGAGTTTGCAATCTGATGTTAATAGGTGTTAAACGCTTGGGTTCGCAATTTGTTTCATTGTTTGCAGGTCTCCATAGTTGATTCCTCGGCTGGACTCAATGGCGTCCCTCCTGGATTCTGAAGCACAATTCATTCAGAGGACTTTGGATCTCAAACTATCTGATGAACTGAAGAGGAGCCTTAAGACTGCAAACTTACAAACGTTTGGAACACTGGCTTACGCACATGGACAGCCGGGTCAGAACATTGTGGACTCAGCTTTTGAGACGTGGCTTACTTCAAACATTTTGACAGGTGCGAGTGTTGCTGACATCGCAGGTGCCAAAAGGCTTTTATTCGAGTCACAGACCATGGTTCTTGCTGCCTTGCAGGATTCTGTGAATGCCCCTGACAGTTCATCCATCAAGAAGGTGCCCAATGCTGAGCGTGAGACCAAAATGAGGTCTTTGAAAAACAGATTGAACGGGTTGCTCATCGAGGGCCCACTTGAACCTGGACATTCACTACTTGATCTTGCGGCAAGTATGTATCAACAAAATGAAATTCGTTACATTCCTCCTGAAAAATCGGTTAGCAGGACACATGAAGTGTTGACGCAGAAGAGCCCGTCAAAAATGCTGGATATCTCATCGGAGAGTTTGATCATTAAGGAAAAGACCGAAGTCCAGGACATGGTTGTATCTTCGGCGTTGCAAGTCCAAGAGTCTCTGCAGCGCAGAGGCTTGGCCCTGGTCTTCGCGGACCTGGTTCAACATGCAAATTATACCAGGTACCTCACTACGTTGTTCTCGCATTTGCACAGGGAGCCCCCTGCAGGGTATAGCCGATGCTCAGTGAGTCAGATCGTGGCCGCCGACAAACTGGTGTGGCAGGCTTTGTTGGAGGAAGGGGTGCAACCAAAGAGAGATGATGCAGGTGTGTTGGCATTGGACACCAAGTTGCTCAGCACTTTGGAGAGCTATCGAGTTTCATTCAGTCTGCTTCCTTTGATTGCCAAAAAGGAAGGTCCAGGGAACATCCAGAAGAAGAACAAACCGCAGCAGCCTTGGTCGAGCGGAAAGGGTGCAGTGGCCACCACACAGAAACCTTGGTTGAAACAGAAAGGAGGCAAGAAAGGTGGCAAATCCAAACAGCGTGTGCCATCTCACATATTCAAGCTGGGAGGAACTGCCTCCAACCCAGAGGGGGAGCCCATTTGTTTTGGATTCAATTCGGAGGGTGGTTGCTCCGAAGCTGCTGACGGAGCCAAGTGCCGCAGAGGGTTGCACATATGCTCCAAATGTTACGCCTCTCACAGTATTTTGCAGCATGGTAATTGACTACATGCACAAGCCGAAACCTCAGATTTATCAACTGATAGTGCAAAAGCATCAGGTGGTAAGTCTTCTTGCGATGTTGACATGGAAGTTCCAAATTTTGTTCATGACAATCCAGCAGATTCTCAGGGTGTCTCCTCGTCAGCCCATAATCCATGCAGTGAGCGTGTTGGCAGAGATGAACAATTTTCCGCAGTTCTCCGAGACCCAGAGAATTCTTGTGAGGCGGCTCAGCCCTTTGTGCATCAGCAACAGACTGAAAGTGGAATTGGTAGTTTTGAACAATTTGGTGCAGATGGAGTGCGAAGTCATTTCATTCAGCACAACTTTTCTTTTTCTGAAGAGCAAATTGCTTGCCCTGTCATAATAGAGGTATTCTGCGGGAGCGCAAGGGTCACAGCCAGTCTGAAGGAGCTTGGTTTGGTTGAATCCTTCGGCGTTGATCACGATGTTGACAAGGCGATTGCAACTGTGAAGAGATTGGATTTGACACTTAGCAGGGATCAACACATTTTCAAGCAGTGGATGAAATCCCCTCTTGTTGTTGGCATCTTTTGGGCACCCCCATGCGGTACTTGTTCATTGGCCAGAAACATTCAACTTCGGGACTCGGTTGGCAGGAAAATCCCAGGACCAGTGCCGTTGAGATCGCATGAACTTCCAGAGGGTTTGACTGGTTTGAGAGGTAAGGATCGTCGCAGAGTATCTGCGGCAAACAGGCTGTACGAATTTTTGTCTGAGGCGATCCAGGAAGCTCTGGCCAGGGGGCTCATTGTCGTTGTCGAAAATCCACGTTCTTCACTTTTCTGGTTGACGAGATTTTGGAAATCAGTTGCAAAGCATTTCAATTATACATCCCATCAAGCATGCGCATACGGAGGTGACAGGCCGAAGTGGACAGTGCTAGCTTGGAATCATCAGCGTTTCAGTCACATCAACCTGTGTTGTTTAGGTGAGTCACCTTCTCACATACACAAACCTTGGGGAATCGTGCAATCTACACAGGGAACGCATTTCTCGACCAGCGAAGAAGCTGCTTATCCGAGAGGCCTAGCAAGGGCAATTGCCAAAGCTTTCGCTGACATTCTGGTAAGTCATGGGTGGAGTCCACCGCATGAATGTTTTCAGCTGCAGTCACATGACATCAATTTAAAAACCATGAGAGCAGTAGCCACTGCTCAGCCGAAAGCCTCTCGCGTTCCTCCAGTGGTGCGTGAACACAAGCAGGTGGTAGTCGTGCGAGGCCCAGCACATGTACTCAATGACATGCCGGTGGAACCAATGCAGCGATTGAAATCTTCTTTACATATCCCAACTGAGTGTGATGCTGCGTTGCGAGTCCTACCAGAAGGGGCTCAGTTGTTAAGGGTCACACCACTGCGGTCAATGGGGGGTATTGCGTCACAATCATCAGCATTTTCCAACTGCATGGAACAAGCTTGGGGTATTCCTTTTTCTCCTGAAGAATTCATACAAGAAGCTGTGAGCAGAGGACACCCAAAACTAATTTCGTCGTTGGTACCCCCAGTGCTGATGGAGGCTGTTTTTCACAATTTTCAAAACGAGGATCTGGGTCACTTGCCGAAGCTGAGGGCCGACTGGTTTAGCAAATGGACAGCCAGGGCAAAGGAGCTTCAACCAGCAGAGATGGAGATGAAAGCGGGCATGCCTGCACACATAGCAACTATTTTGAAGCCAAAGCGGCTGCTTCTCTGGAAAGAAATTTTGCTGGATTTGGGATATCCAGATGCAGATGTGGTGTCAGAATTGGCAAACGGTACTGAGCTTGTAGGGGAAGTTCCCACCTATGGCATCTTTGAGAAAACTTTCAAGCCAGCAGAAACAACGGTGGACAGTTTGTGCAAGGAGGCGAAATCGATCAAGCAGAAGCACTATCATAGCTGCAGGTCGTCAGGGGACAAAGAGATAGATGAGCTTGTTTGGAAGAAGACCCAAGAGGAAGTCGAGCTTGGATGGGCATCCGGCCCCATTGATATAGCAAACCTGCCAGCTGATGCAATTGTAAGCCGACGTTTTGGATTCCGACAACCTGGGAAGATACGCTTGATAGATGACTTGTCGGCTAGCAATGTCAACCAGACGGTGCAATGTGCAGAATCACCCAAGCCGCAATCAATCGACTTCGTGGCTGCCCTGCTGTTGACGATTCTGAAAAGTAGCGGAGGAGCACAAATCCAAGGCAGGTCCTTCGATTTAAAAAGCGCTTATAAGCAACTTGCAATAGCTGAGTCATCCTTGCAGTTTGCCTTTGTAGCCATATATAACCCCTATAAGAAAAGGGCCGAGCTGTATCAGTTGCTTGCAGCACCTTTTGGTGCAACAAGAAGCGTGTATTCATTTTTACGTATCTCACATGCCATTTGGTTCACTGGTGTCAAAGCTCTGAAAATCATGTGGAGTGTGTTTTTCGACGACTATGTGGTTTTCTCTCAGAAGCTCCATGTCAAAAGTACGGAAGCCACTGTTGAACTCTTGTTCAGACTACTGGGGTGGAAATTTGCAGAAGAGGGTGAGAAAGCGACATGCTTTGGTGATGATTTTTCAGCGCTGGGTGTACGCCTCAACTTGGAGAATGCGAACTTGGGAAAAGTCAGTTTCATCAACACAGAGAAACGCATTACAGAGCTGACCAGCGCCATAGAGGATATCATCAGGAAGGGTCGGATGACTGTTTTGGAATCGCAGAAGCTTAGAGGGAGAATGCAGTTTGCAGATGGACAAGTCTTTGGTCGTTTGGGAAAGTTGTGCATGAAAGCCATAACGCAACATGCTTTTAAAGGTCGGGGTGATAAACTTGAGAAACCGACGGTTGATGCCTTGAGAAGATTTGTGATTTTTCTTAACCATGCAGAGCCTCGAAGTTTGGAATTGGCGTCCGACTCTGTTTGGACCATTTACACCGATGCATGCTATGAGCCTCAACGGACCGACTGGGTATGTGGTCTGGGTGGGGTGCTTGTGAATCCGCTTGGTGAAAAGGTGGCATTCTTCTCAATGGAGTTGTCAACAGAACAAAGGCGTGCGTTGGGTGCTGAGTTCAAAAAGACCATCATCTTTGAAGCGGAACTGCTGGCCATGGTACTGGCTTTTTCTGTCTGGAGGTCAATCATTGGATCTTCAAGTGTTATTTGTTTTGTGGATAACAACTCTGCAAGGGATGTTGCAATTTCAGGATGTGGCAGAAACTGCGTTGCAAGCATTTTGGTAGAGTTCCTTCTGAAGCTCGAAATGGCTACAAACGTAACACCATGGTACACCCGTGTACCCACGCCATCAAATATAGCAGATGACCCTTCACGAGGAGTTGTCCAGTATTTGATAGAATCTGGAGCTGAGTGTAAAATTCCTGAGACTGAACTTCAGGATATCATCAAGATACTTTTGGAATCATCGGTTAAGAGGGGAGATATTGAACAGTGATTTCTTTGCCTTACAAGCTGCGAAAGAGCATCTGGTCATTTGTGGGACAGTTTTCGTCAGCTTGACATTTTTGCAACGAGCTTGACTGGATCAGTGAAGCTGGTGGCTGAGTTCACAGCCCATTGGACATACAGGATTTATCGATCCCCCATGTCACCGTTGGAAAAGGGCCGCTGTGTGTTCTTCAATCGTCAGCAGTGATGGAACTTTTGTGGATGCGTTTTTGTTTACAGCCGAGTTTGCATTTAGGGTTTCGACTGGTTCAGTTTGGCATTTTCCCCGCCACCCTTGGTTCAGTTTGGCGTTTATCCCTTGGTTTGCGGCGTATACACGTGGGGGTGGGACATGAGTAGGTAGCAGCCACAAGTTTTGAAATAAGTAAGCGGTCAACTTGTTGATAGCTCCTTATTTCAAAACTTGTGAGAAACAAAGTTTCGTGCTGCTATCTTCTTTTGTCTGTTTTGTCAAACACTCCTTACTCACGTGCACTGAACCAAGGGCCAACAACAAATAGAAAACAAATGCTGTTTCTTTTGCAAATCACTTTTTCAGTGTCGCTGCAATTCAGTGGAAAAGGTATTCACAGGTACAGGTTCAGTTCTGACATTCTTGACAGTTTCGAAAGTGCACTTCGTTTACATGGAACATACATGAACATTCAATGAATGATATCCTCGCGGAATTTGGCTGAGGGTGGGTGGTGGGACACCTCTTAAATTGAGGTTGTTTTGCCCCCACCCTCCTCACCCTTGGCAAAACAACAACTTGGTACAGCTACAGCTTTTGAGGCAGCCTTTGCAAAGTGCCTCTACTCTTGTCGAACTCATGATTGAACTATATGTTCTTTGCTGTCAACTTCTTGACAATAGCACCTGTGTTATACAGTGATCTCGCCGGTTCTGACGAAGATTTTTCAACTTGTGCTACTGGGAGATATTGAACAGTGATTTCTTTGCCTTACAAGCTGCGAAAGAGCATCTGGTCATTTGTGGGACAGTTTTCGTCAGCTTGACATTTTTGCAACGAGCTTGACTGGATCAGTGAAGCTGGTGGCTGAGTTCACAGCCCATTGGACATACAGGATTTATCGATCCCCCATGTCACCGTTGGAAAAGGGCCGCTGTGTGTTCTTCAATCGTCAGCAGTGATGGAACTTTTGTGGATGCGTTTTTGTTTACAGCCGAGTTTGCATTTAGGGTTTCGACTGGTTCAGTTTGGCATTTTCCCCGCCACCCTTGGTTCAGTTTGGCGTTTATCCCTTGGTTTGTGGCGTATACACGTGGGGGTGGGACATGAGTAGGTAGCAGCCACAAGTTTTGAAATAATCGACTTGCATTCGTGAAGAGAAAAATTGAGTGAGTGAACCTCCTGTCAAACTTTATCATAGTTGCAATCTCAGCAGCAAACTGTCCAGCAAAGACCACATGTGAAGTGAAACATTCATGGTTCATGGAGGCTTCATGGACAATGGCCATCTCCAAACTTTGAACCAAACTCCTTCAGATTTGTCACTTCAGTCATGTGAACTTGTTTGCATTGTTTTTGGACGTTTGAGTTGCAGCGATTTGTTTTTTGTGACACGTTGTGCAATCACTCACAAGACTCAATGCTTACATCAGTCCGTCGTTTTTTCAGGCACTGTAGTGCTGGCGGATGAAAAACTGATGTGACAAGCAATTGCCAGACAATACAAATAAACCAGTCCTTGATCGATGTCACGTTAATGCGTTAGAACTAACTGGAAGCTGTCCATTAGTTTGACGAGTCAGCTGTTTTTTGCGATGATGATCACAATTTACTGTAAGCCTTTTTTGAGACATCATGCAATGGTACCCATTGGCCAACAAGTTTTAAAAACTACATCATGCAATGAGGACATATCAGGTTTGAACCCGTCAGACGCGTTACGTGGTAAAGCATGGCCCTGGTTGACTCTGCAGCATCGTTTGAGAAACGCTGCAACGAGTTACAAGATGGTATTCACGATGTTTTCAGAGATGCTGGCATTACAACGTTCTCTACATTAGCTTTTGCTGTAGGAACTCCTCAGAGTGCTCCAGCAGACGATGACATGCAGAGGTTCACAGACCGTTTGATGGGCGGCCCAGCCACCTTGGCCGATCTTGCTGTGGTCAAGCGCATCCACTTTGAGGCAGTGACCTTGGTGATGGTTGATTTACAACATCATTCATCAGCCCAGGATCTCTCTGAACCTGGGCGCAGTTTGCCTTTTGTAGAGAAGCAAAGGCGCTTGGCAGTGCAACAGGCCAAGGTCACCGGGATCAGCCATCGCCATGAACAACAGGCGTCGCATGCGCTGATCGATGCATGCTTCCAAATGGTGGAAAGTGGCTCCCTGGTGTACCTTGCACCATCGAAGTGTGGGACCAGAGATCAAGAGATACAACAAGATACAAAAACAAAACAGAAGCAGTTGGTGACGATCGAACAGGGGGCCTTGAAGGCCATCGCCAATCAGAGTTTGGCAACTATAGACGTGGGCACCGAACTACGACTGTTATACGCCCTGCAAAGGCGTGGGTTAGCAATGGATCTGGTGGGTCTCATGTCTTGGGACACGCATACCGATTGGAGCAACAAACTCTTTCGGGCCCTCATGGCAGACACAGTGCCAAGCTTCAATCCCATCACGATTGACCAGTTGCTTCGAGCAGACCAAGAACTGTTCCTACTTCTTGCCGCAGAGCACACTGGATCTTTGAAGGCGCCATCAGTCGACCAAGATCCTCCACTTGATCAAGAAGTACGTCGCTTGATGAATGATCCTAGGATCAATGTGCATCTCACTCCAATTCAGAGGATTGAGAAAAGAGCTGCACCAGCTGGACCACCTGGACAAGGATCTCCGAACAGGAACAACTTCAACAAGAAGCAAAAGACGGATGCACCAAAAGCACCAAGCCAGGTGCCAGCTGAGTTACAAGGGCTCCATACAAAGACGAAGGATGGAAAGCCAATTTGCTGGCACAAAAATATGAAGAAAGGATGCCGCAATGCAACAAAGAATGGACGATGCCGATTTGGGTATCATACATGTATGAAATGTTTGAAACCGGGCCATGGTGCTGCAGATTGCCATGGTGAAAAGGCCTCATGACAAAATAGAGAACGCAGCCGGAGTCCATGCAGACCTTTGGCCAAGCCGTTGGGTGAGCAGGACACCATGGTTCGAACACCAATGCACGGTGATGTGGACTCAAAGCCGAAACCTCACCTCGAAGAGTTTGCAGGTGGATGCGATTTGCAAACAAATCAGTCAACTGCCTCCACACGGAAATTTTTTGGACCCTCGACTGAGTTTGTTAGCGAGGGTCCCACCATGCAGAATTCAAAGCGGTCCTGTTTGATCTTAGAAATTTTTTCTGGCAGCTGCAGGCTATCTCGAGCATGTCGAGACGCAGGCTTCAGAGTGACAGCAGTTGACAAAGATGAGACAAGGGCTGAAAATTTTGCGATTTACAAGTGTGATGTCACAAACTCAGAGGACCTCGCACTACTTTTGCAATACATCGAGGCTGAAAAGGAAGAGCTGTTGCATGTGCATTTTGCACCCAGTTGCGGAACAGCGTCCAGGGCACGTGAAAAAGCGCCTGGACCTCCACCCTTACGATCAGACACGTTTCCAGACGGTCTGCCAGGACTGAGTGAGCAAAACAAAACAAGGGTTAATGCTGCAAATGAGAGTTACATTGCAATGTTATCTTTGGCAAAATTTGTGATTTCATTGAATGTCAGCATCAGTATTGAGAATCCGAAGAACTCACTTTTCTGGAAGTGTTCTTTTGTTCGCGAATTTCTGGATGGTTTGCCTCAATTTCATATTTGTGAGTTTCAGCATTGCATGCATGGAGGGAAACGCAATAAATTCACACACTGGTTAAGTTGCAACCCTCGTGATCTGGAGCGAGACATGTTTGAATCACTGCATTTATTGTGCGACCAGCAACATCAACACGCCAGCTGGGCGCCTTACATTGATGAATTTGGCAAACAAATTTTTCCAACGGCAGGCGAAGCGGCTTATCCAGAGTTGTTGTGCCATCGGATAGCTTGCATTCTCAAAGAAGAAGCAGTCAAACACAATTTTCATTTTCCATCAGATTTGACAGAACAGCTGCACACGCATCCGAACGTGGCCAAACGACAAATATTTACAACACAACCTCGTGGAAAACGCCTTAGACCGTTGGTTTCTGAATTTCAAGCTTATCGTTCTGTTCTGTTTCCATTAAATTCCGAACACATCATACAAAAATATTTACAAGACCAACCAAAAGGTTCACGAATTTGTCATCGTTCTCTCACCAATGGGGGTATTTCTTGGGATGACAATTCTGCAAAAGCGGCGGGCCTTGCAGCGCACGACAGTTGGATTGATGGACAAGCTGGAGAAATCTTGCATTTTGGTATCCCAAGGGAGCCGGAAGACTTCATTAGAGAAGCAGTTGCAAAAGGGCACCCTAGGGATGTAGTTGCCAGAGTGCCGACTACTGTTCGAGCGTTGCTAAGAGACTTGGTGCATGGCAAGCCCGAAAGACGCTTTGCCAAGCGTGCCTCTTTCATGAAAAGGTGGTTGAAACGCTCCTTGGAACTACGAGCAGATGAAGAACGGCTACATCAGAGCATGCCACCCCATTTGCGTAAGATCCTTAAGGGGAAACGCCTGCTGCTGCTCAAAGAGATTTTGACTGATTTGCAATACCCTGATGTTGGAATAGTTGATGATATAATATCAGGTTTCCAGCTCACTGGATGGGCGCCCAAGACTGGAGTGTTCGAACCTGATGTTCGGCGACCACAACTATCAGTGGAACAACTCATCAAAATGGCCCCTGGGATAAACGTAGAGTCATCAGGTCAGTTGAAGAAGCTCCTGCAGACCAGACGACAGACCATGTATGGGCAGAAACTTGGGCCGAAGTTGAAAAGGGATGGTTGAAGCCGGCATCTTCATCCAAGAACTGCTCAGTTGCTAAGCGATTTGGCCTGCAACAGAAATCAAAAATCAGGATGATTGACGATTTTAGCGTCAGCCGGATAAACCATACGTATGGCATGCGTGAAAGGCTTCGAGTACAAGCAGTTGATGAACTTTGTGCTTACCTGGCGACCTTGCTTGATGATCACCAAGTTGGCAACCTTCCGAAGATGAAAGGCAGAACGTTTGATTTGCGTTCAGCCTACAAGCAGTTTGGGGTTGACCAGTGGCACTCTGATTTCTTGCAAGTTTGTGTGAAGAACCCGGCAGGCGGCCATGGTTTATTTGGAGTAACTGCATTACCTTTTGGAGCCACTGGAAGTGTCACCAGTTTTCTCCGTGTTTCGAACGCGTTAGCGCACATTGGCCACATTGGACTGGATCTAATCTGGTCTGCTTTCTTTGATGACTACACTGCTATTTGCACTGCTACTGAGGAAGACAACGTGACATTTTACGTTGAGGCTTTATTTCGCATGCTTGGCATTGATTTTGCAACTGATGGGGACAAAGCGCCACCATTCAATGAAGAATTCAAAACGCTGGGTCTTAAGTTTGATTTAAAGAACCTTTGCACTGGGAGTTTTTGCTTGCAACATACTGAAAGCCGCAGGGCCGAGTTGGTGTCCACTATTGAGACGTTGATGGCAAAAGGAAGCACCACTCCCAAAGAGCTTGAACGTTTGCATGGTAGACTTGTATGGTTCAATGCATTTGTTTTTGGAAGAAAACTGAATCACGCTGTCAGAACTCTCTCCCTTGCGTGTCACTCCGCGGAGAAGTCCTTGCGTTTAGCAGGGGGGCTACGAGGGGCTCTAGCAAGTTTGCAGGGTTTGCTTGTTGAAAGCCGGCCGTTAGTGATCAATAAATCGTTGTGTACAGCTTGGGTTATTTTTACCGATGGAGCCTACGAACCCACGTCCGACCGTCCTGCAACGGTGGGTGGCATTCTCATCAGCCCGTGCGGTGTGGCAACATCATACTTTGGAGAAGAGCTTGAACAAACACTGACAGAAAAACTTTTAGTCGATTCACAACACCCAATATATGAGCTGGAAGTTCTTCCTCCGCTTCTAGCAATCAGTGCCTGGAGACATTTCATTTCGGGAGCACCCGTGGTGTTCTATTTAGACAACGATGCGGCACGGTCAGCCTATGTTCAAGGTGTTGGAGCAACCAAATTTGCAAAATTGTTTACGGAAAAATTTGTCGAACTTGAAAGTCGCTTGAGAGTCTTGTCATGGTTCGGACGAGTACCGAGTCACAGCAACCCCTCTGACAAACCTTCGCGAATGGACTTTAGCGACCCTCTCCTACAGAACTGCAGCAGAACCAAAATCCAAATTCCAGTACACTTTGAGGAAACAGGGGGTGGCTTCGGGTGTACTGGAAACCAAAGCCTATTTCCATAGGCGTCCAGCATACAATCCTGAAACTTTTCCCCATTGTCCTCGATGAAAAAGGTGCTGCAGATTGGAATCATTTGGTGCAGTTCATTTCAGCTTGATCCATCATGTCACAGTGTCACAGTTGCGATTTCATTGTTTGTCGTTTCTTTGCTGACAGTTTTGCATGTTTATTTTTTGCTGACCTTTTTTCGATGTTTCGAAACTGTTGGCGCACGACGTAACCCGACATAGCGCGGCGAACTATATATAATGTTTATACATACGTTAAACCAAGATGTCAGAAGATATCCTGAAATCACATCTGTGTCCTCGCTGGCTTGTGCTGTGTTTTGCAAATGAGGAAATAAGCTGAAACTCTTCGAAGAAGATGAAAGCCTTATTTCCAAAGCAAGCAAATTTTTGTGATGCTTATCAAGCTCACAAAAAAGCTGCTCGAGCCCCTGGCATCTTATCTAGAGTCTGTCTGAAGCAATCTGACATTTTATCTTCAGACAACTCTCAAATCACAAACACTGTGATCTTTTTTGGCATTCCAAATTGTTCACAAATTTCTTGCCAAATCAAACACTCATCACAAGTGATCAATCCTATACCTGCTGCGGTGTCATTTGCATCAATCTTTTCTGATGTTAAGTTTTTTGTCACCGCAACTTTTACCATTCAAGGTGTGGGTGGGTAGGGTTCCTCAAACATTTTTATGAGGATTCACAAAAAAATCCCGCCCAATTATACTCCCACCCTTTTTTGCTGAATCCTATTGTTTCACACACTACGTTCCACACGTAGCCTCGTACTGGAAACCAAAGCCTATTTCCATAGGCGTCCAGCATACAATCCTGAGACTTTTCCCCATTGTCCTCGATGAAAAAGGTGCTGCAGATTGGAATCATTTGGTGCAGTTCATTTCAGCTTGATCCATCATGTCACAGTGTCACAGTTGCGATTTCATTGTTTGTCGTTTCTTTGCTGACAGTTTTGCATGTTTATTTTTTGCTGACCTTTTTTCGATGTTTCGAAACTGTTGGCGCACGACGTAACCCGACATAGCGCGGCGAACTATATATAATGTTTATACATACGTTAAACCAAGATGTCAGAAGATATCCTGAAATCACATCTGTGTCCTCGCTGGCTTGTGCTGTGTTTTGCAAATGAGGAAATAAGAAATATGTGGTTTTGAAAGCTTTATTTCCATTGTCTGACATGCTAGAAGAGACTCGGAAGAGATGAGGGCATGAAGGAATACAGCATGATATAGTATTGTGGCACAGCCATTCTAGATTCTTTGCACGTAAAATGGAAAACAGGTCTCACGCATTCCAAAGCAATTCTGAGATTTCAATGAAAATAGCAAGGAAGTTCCAATTTAGACGGGGTTTTTAGAATCTAGAATGAAGAACCCAGGGTCCCTTGGTAATAGTTAAAGCTATACTATGAAGCACTTGTCCGGCATCGGCCAACAGTATACATATATGCCAGCATATCTTGCGATGAGCTCTTCTGGGGAAACCATCTCGACGGGAAACAACAATTCCACTTACCTACCTCCCCATTTCTTCTGTAACAGTTTTCGCAGAGCTTTCGGCAAGAAACGTTCGCCAAGTCGCTCAAACCGCAGCTTGCACCTTAAGACAAAAGGCAGTGACGAGAACACGCGCGGGCTAGGTCCAAGCCAGAAGAAAAGAGAACATTGAAACAACCGCAGCTGCAACCCAAACAAACTCATGAGCAGGGTCAGGATTCAAACCTTAAAAACATATTTGTCTAAAGTGAACTAATGAGACTAACGCTGATGAATTTCAAGGCAGAACAAAAGCTTTTGAATTGCGCAGGCAACGGAAGAAGCGCTGCACGGACAGAGCTTCCATGCATTTGCTGTTTGAAGCATCTCTAACCCAGCCTAACTCAGCCAATTTGCTTGGTAAAAAATCGGAGCAGCAGCGGGGTACAGGTCCCAGCTACATGTGAAAAAGCATGGCGCGCTGTCCCTTCGAAATCAGACACGAAGCAAAGCAACGGCAAACCAAATGACAAGCCCAAACAAAAAAGAGTTGCCGTTTGCTTTTCGTATTTTTGCGCGTCGCGTTTTGTTTTCAGGACCTTTTTCGCAGTTCCCATCTACGCGCTGTTTTCTTACTTCGCGTCGCCTCTTTTTTTTGGTTTTCCCGCGGCCTGCGTTCTTTTGATATTTGCCCCCTCCACACACACGCACCTGCTTGTGGACTTGCTTTCTCAGAGTTTTTGCTTTTCTTTTTGC